CCTCTCTCTCTCTCTCTCTCTCTCTCTCTCTCTCATTCATAAGTAGAAAAATAACAAATAGGATCATTCATCTTAAGCATAAAGAGATCACAGTAACTTTTTTCTTCAATAGATATATCACAGTAAGTCTTTCTTGATAGATTTGAAATGGGGAAAATATACAAAGATACCATTTGCTTTTTAATACGAGGAAGTTACAATTATTCTTGTCCATCATATTTCAAATTTAAAATCAAGAAATCATGAGTGTGTTATTGACTAGACTCAATTCAAAAAAACATTTCTCAAACTTTTTTTTACACCCCAAGCCATCAAATTTGACGACCTCCTTGTAACAAAGATAAATAGTCTCACAGCATACAATCCCTTTAAAATCATGCAGCTGAAGTGTTCTGACTTGACTACAAAGAATTGTCTCCAACCTTGTGACACACCGTGAGTTGTCTATTTTGATCACCTCTAGCCATTAGATTATATACTCCTTGTACCAGAGGTACGTGGTCCTATAGAATACAGCCCCTTAATAAACATATATTACAACTTATAACTAAAAACGATTATGGGTTCCTGAGGGAGCACATGGTCCATTCACTCTCTGGTAAAATCATAGCTATGATTATTTTAAGACCCCAACTATTGCGGATTAGCCTCCTCAATCTAGCAAAGAATCATAGGACCCATATATGCTTGGAAAAAGTAACGCCTTAGTTTTTATCTTTGGAAGATCATTTCTAAGTGGTTAGGAGCTCAAAATTCTTTTTTTTGTTTGTTTGTTTAAATACTCATCACATGAATCAAAAAGTGGATCCCAAAATTTCAAACGGAAAACTCTTAGTAAGACTTCTGCCCAAGGGAGCAAGTGTATTAAGTGCTCTAGCGGGAGTAAACTAAGGGCACATTTGGTTTGCGAGAAAATATTCACCCGAAGTATTTTTGTCATGTGGTTAGGGGTGGTTAGGGGTGAGTATTTTCCTATCAATTGGCCCCAATGCATTTTTTCAAATCAATTGGCAACTAATTAGTGTAAAAATGCTCCAACACCTAACCACATGTGGGAGTTTTTTCATGTCAAAGCCGCTCATTCTAAAGCCAGAGGGCTGCGCTTGCGCAAAGGTTTGAGCCCAAAAAATAACTAGGCCTTGGGCTACGGTTTGAGCTCAAAAAACAACTAGGCCAGTTGTGCCTTGATGACCTTTTTTAGTCCCATATTAAATTTTTGGCAAAATAATGTGAAACTAAATTCATTTGGAATCAAATTCTAAAACAAGTTTAAAAGAATGAAAAAAGGAACAAGCTTTCATGGCTGGAATAATAAACCGTATAACAAAAGCATTACTTCTCTGGGGGTATATATTTTCTCATTTGGGCTTTTATTTTCTTGAGGCTGTGGAGTGAAATGAAGAGAGTTAGCTTCTAGTTTCGACTTAGATGGAGTTTGATATGTAAAGACATTAGCATTTAATGATTCTAGGCCTAATCTTTAGGGCAAACTAGAAAAGGCAAACACAATAGACAGGGGAAGTATACAATAGAACTATTTACTTTTTGTATAAAGTTGGAAATAGTTAGCTAGGCTCTCAGATGTGAAATCGACCACACTCAAGGTCCGAGATAAAAAAAATTTCACTTCAATAAGAAATCACACAATCTTGGCTGCCCAATTTCACATCCAATGACTAGTGGTGATTGTAACCTTTTTTAGCCGAACCAAAATGGTCTTGTAACATAAATTCTTATTAGATTGTCAAAAAGATACTCACCTCACTCTCTTCCCTCCATTGCATCTCAGCTCCCTCCTCCAACATGAACTTTCCCCTAGTCATTTCACTCCCTATCCAACCATGAGTAGCAATAGTTATCCCCACTACATCCATCACTTCAAACCTTAGTGTCTCATAGAAGTTTAACACTGCTGCCTTTGCTGCCTGAATGAACAACTCAAAACACCGTTAACATAGCAAGTACATGACAATAAACATCAATGCACATAAGCTAAAAGATAAAATGTGACAAACAACATTTGTGATGTTTTGCTCTATAGAGTGTATCCACGGCCAAATGATATGGACTTGTCGCTAAACAGTTATATATTTTTTCACTTCAGCCTCTTCCTTAAACCTTGAACCCTAAACCCTAAGCATAAGAGCCAAGGAAGAAAATATTTTTAAACTTACAGCATAAAGGCTCATTCTAGGCATTGGTAACCAACTCTCGACTGATGCATTAACGACAATCCGACCTTTGCTGCGCCTCAAATGTGGAAGGGCGAAATATGTAGGATAAACATTTCCCCAAAAGTTTATGTCCTAATAGTACAACCAACATAACATCCCAAAACAACACCAAAGAGTTAGAACAAATTTATGTATTCTTCTCTGTGACATTAAGAAGATATGCACATGATGAAATATTTAGTCTAGGAAAGTTATATTTACGAACAGTTATAACCAAAAACTTTTATTTTTTGAACGGTTAAAAGATAAGTTTCATTTACTACCAAAAAGTTATTTGCTAGTGTGTTTGGCTTTTTAATATAATGCAAACCTTAGACATAGGGATTAAAGTAGCATTAGAGAAATCAAAATTTTCTTAAAGGAGAAGTTTTATATTCAACAATGAGTATTCAAAAGCACTGGAGAACTCATGATATCAAATTATTCCACTAGATTCAAATGAATACCATCATATGGGGAAATACAGACGTGTCCGTTGCTTCTTCAAAGAAGAATGTATGCCCCAAGCTTGCAGTGTTCACTAGGTGATTCACTGCAACAAAAAAAGATGAAAACAGGAAAAAAAAAAAAATCATCAATAATACCAATAGTCAAAAGATTATATTCTTCTATAGGAGCAAATCATCCTCTAGTAAAACTAGTGTTTAAAGAGTCATGGGTCTGGAACAGAAATCGCCGATCCAGATTGGGAATCGCCCAAAAACAAGCATATTATTTGGATGGATCAGTTCAAACCCCACAACATGTAGCGTACTCCTTTTAAAAGAAACTTCTACGATTTTTTTCTTTTAGGACTTTTAAAGATGAAGATCCTGACCCACGACCTAGTACCTCCAAGTGCACAGCCTAGCCAAGCCGACGCTTATGCTTATTTCTTAGAATATTTACATTATATATTATATATTCCTCAATTTTTTATTTTTTCTATTTTTTTCAAAGAATTTTGCTAGAACCAATTCTGCCAATTCCAATCGGGTGGACGATCCGCCCATCGATCCTTTTTTCCAAACAATGGAGTGAAACTCTACTTAGGAGTACTGTTATGAACCAATTTTGGGGATATAAGCTCCTTGACCTAGTGACTAACCTCAAAAAAAAAAAAAAACCTGCGCTCTAAATGCGCCCCAAATATAAACGTCCCATGATTACATCGAGACTATCCAATTTTTGGATGGTCAGATCTTAGTATTTTGAAACTCATAAACTTTTCATTTCATTCGAGTACATATTTGGTGATTCTAAAGTGAGTCCCAAAACTTCAAGTTGAAAAGGGAGCATATTCATACCAATATATATTTTCCACTAGTTAAAACCATTTGTCTTATTCGTAATAAAAATGATAAATTACATTTTCTTTGTAATTTCCATGAAATATAATTTCAAGATTTATCTTGGACATAGTTTTTAGGCAATAGTGATTAGGAAACCTTGATAACCGTAGCATGTTTGTGATTCTAAGATGCTTTTGTGTGTCCTACTTTACCCTAAATGATAGAAAAAGGCAAATTTATCGAAATACCCTGAAGCTTGAAATATATTTTGCATTTTCTTAGGTATATTTTGATAAATTTAAAAACGACTTTTGATGTGGCATTTAATGAGCAATTTCAAATTTGATCAAAAGAATGATGGATTAAAAATATGGATAAATTGTTAAATAGTTCAAATCTTAGGGCTAGTTTGATAAATTACATAAAAAATGAATTAAAAATAAAAAAGGAAAAACAAAAAAACAAGAAAATGGGTTATTTAGTAATGATAGTGAAACTCACAGTGACCAAATTGATTGATGGTTTCGTCGACGAACCTTCGACAATCCTCTTCCTTGACAACATCTGCAGCCTTGACTGTAACATGCCTCGCACCTAGTGCCCTTGCATTTTCTTCAATTCCCCAAAGCCTATCCTCTTTCCTTGCCACCAATACTAAATTGGCTCCCCTCTTTGCATACTCATATGCTATTTGCTATATTTTTTGACAAAATTAACAACAAATTCACCATTTAAACTCACATAAATACATGCATGCACACAGATTACTTAGATGTGTATACCTAAAATCAAAGTTATGTAATAAGATCAAATTCATAGCAAACACTTTCAAAGTTCAACTCCTATGAGTCATAAAAGCTTGCTTGAAAATTGAAAGAATTAGATGGACTCCAGACATAAAGAACACCAGGTTTAGAAGAACGCTTAAAGAATAATATTAAATGTCAAGAAATTATATGCTCCTGCGGGAACATATCCTAAACAAAGTTTGGGATGTTAATTTATCAACCTAGTAACCAAACTTGACCCCCCAAAAAATTTATATTTATATACCCTATGCCTAAAAGAATGTCCTGCGATTGAACATAAGACTGTTCAATTTTTAGCCAGTTAAATCTGAGTATTTAGGAATTGAAAATCCAGTTTTATTTTATGAAGACCCCATCTGATGATTCTAAACCGGATTCCAAAATTTCAGATCGAGAAAGTTCCTCAATCTCAATCCTATTAAGTGGGTCCTTTTTCTGAGGGAGCAGACGCATAGTATGCTCCCGCGCGAGCAGGTTAAACCTACTCCTATCAAATATCCCAATGCAAGAGAAACAATGGATGAAGAAAGAGATCTGAGTAAAGACCAAAATGAAATAAAAATTTGCAAATTCATGAGAGAAACAAGAGACCATTCAGACCTACACCCAACGAAAAAAAAAAACAAACTGGAGAAATCATTGGTTGTTGAAGATGTACCTCTCCAATGCCTGAAGAAGCCCCTGTGACAATGACAACCTTGTTATCCATATTCTCACTAAAGAAGTAGTGATAAACTCCCTCACATGCATGGAGGAAAGAGAGAGATGGCCATGCAAAGGCCAGCATAGCCAAGCCAGCAGGTGGTACCACCAAATCTAGCAGAGAGTTCAGCAAATCCATGATCAAGCTCAAGCTCTGCAAGGCCAAGGTCTGGAGAGAGAGAACTGCTATATATGTTTATGGAAGGTGATAAGAATGGAGGGAAGAGGGAGAAAGTAGGGGGAATTCAACCACCAAATGTTTCATGCATGAGGGTGTTTGTGTACACGTCTTGAGGTAGCTTTATGATATGATGACATTTGGAAGAAACTTCTCTAAATTTAGATATGTATTACGTAAAGTTCTTCTGAATTTAGCTTGAGAAAATAGTTAACCTAATGAAATGGTGATAGGATTGTGATTGGGCTGCCTAAAAAGATAAAATAGCTGAATAAACCCCAAACTAAATGCTGTATTAGTATACAAAATACCATGTCAGAATCTTTGTCAATGTAGCTACACTTGTAGGTTAAAGAGAGGAAGCGACAAACAGCCCAGCATGGAAAGTATTTTGTAGGCTTGACACTGCCCCAGTCGGGCCTACTTTTAAAAAAACTAGGGTTTGGGTCGAGTCAGAGGGTCAGGCGGGCCTGGGCTTAGGCTAGGCCTATGATAGGACTGGTCCAATTCTATCCGGCCCCAGCTCAATCTTCTTTTTTTTCCTTATTTTATTGTTTTTGTTTTTTTATTGTAGATGCCTTGGTTTGGCCTTAATAGGGTCAAGGCTGGGCATGGGCCAAGATCTCTAGGCTTGGTTAGGTTCAGGCCAAAGCTAGCCCAGCCCATTGCGTTCCTGATATTTTGCAATGGCACAACTTTATAAACTAAAAAAAGTTTATATTAGGGTGAGGTCATGAACAATCAAATTATGGAGCATCTCAAAAATTCACTAGAAGATTTTTTTTTGATGCCTACAAATTTTCTAATCGATCATTTCGACCTCAAGATGTACGAATATGATTTCAAGTATTGAAAATAACGCATCTTGTAATACATTTTCTAGACCATCAAATTTCAAGATTTTCAAGTGCTTATAGATCTGCTCGATCTACGCTATTTTTGAAGCTTTAAACTTTATAATTGGATATGAAAGTAATTTCTAGGCCATCACAAAGTTTTCCAATACTGAAACAGCATCTTTCGATACTATTTGAAAGTCTACCATACTTTGATTGTTTAGGACCTTTGCCTTATACAAACCTCACCCTTACAAATTTATATCTAAAAATCTGGCATCCAAAACCTGCAAACCGATCATCTTGATGTTGATAAACTCATAATTTTGAATAAAACTAATTTTTTTGGGTAAGTACAAAACATGGAATCCAGACTTAAAAATAGCCTATCTTGTAACGTTTTTAAACTATATATTTTTAAAAAAAATGTTTCTATCCGCGTTTTAAAAAACGCCGAGTCGAACCGGACTCGCCCGGTTCGACTCAGAAATCGTGAAATGGGACCGGATCGCCTAAAAAATCGGAAATCTGTACAGTGAATCGCCGATTCACTATATGGAATCGGCGAGTCCGTACGGAATTTTTTTTTTTTTTTTTTTATTTAGTACTCATGA